ACAACGGCGGGCTGTTCACCGCCAATGGGGACGACGACGAGGACGACGTTCCTTTAGGCGCGGGGGTCAGTGGCCTGAACCTGCCCACACTAGACTCGAAGGAAAGGCGGACTAGAAGCAAGAACAAGAAGGCTGCAGCAGCTCCGGCTCCCGGCAAGAGGGGCACCAACAGCCCGCTGGGTGCAGGGAATGCGAAGAAGAGCGCAAACGTGCCGTAAAACTGGCGGAGGTAGTGACTGTAAACTTGTGCGCGGCGACAGCAGCGCCCAAAATCAACGCTCTCAAAGACTTCTGTTTGTGAATAGGGTGGATGTGGCGCTGCTGCAGGAGGTAGCAGTCTCGTCCTTCAACATTCCAGGATACACGGAGGCGACCAATCCCGGAGTAAGACGCCGCGGCACCGCCGTGTTGGTGCGCGAAGGGCTAGGAGCGACGCCGCTGTTGTGCCTGCCGTGCGGTAGAGGAACCGCCGTGAAGGTAGGCCACACTGCCTACGTCAGCGTGTACGAGCCGGCCGGGTCACTACGCCCCTCAAAAGAACAAATGCACCGGAAATCGGACCGCGTCAGCCAATCAAAAGCCTCCTTTCATCGAGTGTAGGCATGGGCGCTACCGCTCATGACAGGAGGCCTCTGATTGGCTGACGTGACCGGTACATTTGGTTTTTCGAGAGATCGAAGATCTAAGTGGATTCAGCGAAAGTCTCTCTCTCTCTCTGGCACTTCTTCTCACTGGCTTTCCTTGCGTGCGTCGTTGTGGTTCATCGGTAACGCTTGTCATCAATCATCCACACCGTACAAACGTAATACTCTTTTTCTTGATTAATTAATCTTTGTAATAGTAGGATCAAGGCATTACTTTTCCTGGCATTAAATTGTGTTCTGTCCGGCACCTCTGTCGTCCGTGAATCCTGTGAGGCCTCATGCTGTGAGGTGGTCTGGGAAGGCCGGCTTTGGTAGCTTCTATTTATCATTTCACTTGTTCAGCTTCATCGGTACACGGTACCGTTAGCTTTTGCTCATAACAGTACTGTGGTGAGGTTATGTACCCCGTCGAACCTGCGTGGCGGCACAGTGCATTTGTCCATTTTCTCGCGACTAGCTCACGGCGGTCCTTGCGACGGACGACCATTGCAGACCAACCATTTAGCAACCACCTTTTATTGGGCTCGGGGCTATGCAGATGAAGTGAAAATGACACTATAGGCTATAGGACAGACTTCGCTCTATAAGATTCAATGGTTACCGATATAGCATTGTTCGTTAAAAGTTAGTGTGCTCCTTGCTTGCAAAACGTGTACCACCATTCATTGTCTCATTGTATTTCATTTTTTACATTGCCTTGGGTGTGCCCGCCCACCCGGCCAGTCGTTCTCGAGTGTTCCGAAAAACAGAGATGCCGGGCCTACCCGGCTAGCCTTTTCCGAGTGTTCCAAAACACTCACAATTGCCAAGCCTGCCAAGCCAGCCTTTTGAGAGTGTTTGGCAACACTCGCATCTGTGAAGTGAAAATCTTTCTTATTAGAACATTTGTACCAGCAGTTTCAGTTTTTGGTCTGAAGTTGCTCTCTGTGAGATGAAATTAAACCCTCAGTTACGACTCCTAACTCCTAATAGTTCCAGAGTTGTGGAGGTTTACGTAACAAATTTAGTCGTTTACCCCAAGCTGGAGCACTTCAAACGCAGCACCTGGACCTATGCCAACCACCTTTGCCGCTGTGTCCTAAGACCTGTCTTGTGTTCAGATGCCGCGTCAACGTCACCGTAAGCAGCAGCGCCAGCGCCAGCCCCAACAAGGCCCGCAGGCTCCACAGTGCCCGGCGCCATGGGCGTGGGGCCCTCAAGCTGCACCTGCGTGGAGCCAATTCACTGTCCCCTGGGGACAAGTTGCTGGTGCCCACCCCATGTGGGGACCACCGCCAGCAGCAGCACCAAACCCCATGTGGGGACCACCGCCGGCAGCAGTACACCCCATGTGGGGACCACCTGGACCATCTGCTTGGGGACCTCCGGCTGGAGCACTGGGACCTCAACCGTCAGCAGCTCCAAACCACACGTGGGGACCACCTGGACCATCTGCTTGGGGACCTCCGGCTGGAGCACTGGGACCTCAACCGTCAGCAGCTCCAAACCCCACGTGGGGACCACCCACGACGGCGTCGGCTCCATCAGCAGCAGTAACTGCAGCCGCACCTGTCACTGCTGCAGCACCTGCTGTCACTGCAGCCGCACCTGTCACTGCTGCAGCACCTGCTGTCACTGCAGCCGCACCTGTCACTGCTGCAGCACCTGCTATCAGTGCAGCCGCACCTGATGTCACTGCTGCAGCACCTCCTAACAGTGCTGCAGAACCTGCTATCAGTGATGCAGAACCTGCTATCAGTGATGCAGAACCTGCTATCACTGCTGCAGGAAATGCAGGAAATGATTACTCTGACGAAACTCTCTCGGTATGTTGTCAATTTCAATAAGATATTATCTTCATTTGGTTGAATGAAATTTAACATGTACCGTCATTAATTTTTTGGTGCACAGGGCCCTGACTCTGATTTCGAAGTTGTCGAAGGAACTTCCAATAACTGTGGAGCTTTTTATCTGCCTGGCAAAAATGCGGTACGTCCACAAGATTAAGTTTATAACTGACTAGTTCATGTGCATCATTTTAAGTATTTGGAAATGAATGTTAAATTTAATTATACATGTCCTTTACAGCCGGATGACCTTGCTGATGACCCTCGTTCAACCTGCTCAAAACCGCAAACAGCTGAAGGTAACACAAATTTATGATAATATAGAATATTTCCTTAAAATTATGAAATTTTGCAATAATTATAATTTTTTTAGGTGCAAGCAAAGGAAGGAAAAGGGGATCTCTGAACAGGGCTACCATAGAAAAGCTGACAGCAAATGCTTCTAAATGGAATTCATCACAGAAAGCACAGGCCTCAACAAGCAAGGCTCCTCCCACTAGTAATGAGGCACTAGGAGCACCCCGCAACCCTTTGCCCTCCAACCAGCCTGGGCGCAAGAGGGCCCCACGAAAGAAGCCTGAGGAGCGTAGTCGGACTGTATCGGTGGAAAATCAAGGGAGGCAGCTGAGAAAAAACGCAAAGCCAAAGAAAATAGGTGAGTCATTTGAGAGGATAATTAAGTAACTTTCTCTACAAATTATAGTGCACGAATGGCAAAATGTTTCAGACTTTGCTAATTAAAAAGAAAATTTGTCATTCAGTTTGTTCTTACATTGTTTCTTTCCTTTGTTGATTAGAAAAAAAAAGTCCTCACAATACTAATTGCTCCATATTGTTCCAGATCTCGAGCAACAATTTTCTAACAGCGAGGATGAGGACGACCTTTGTTGAACTTTTGATTCCTTTCGGTTTCATCCTCCTTCTTTATTCTTTCTTATTGATTTATGTCTTATTTTATTATGTCATTCATTCTGCATGAAATATACCAGAAGTATATTTCATGTCAATGTTTCCGCTCTGTTTGTAGCCATTTGTAATTAGGAAAAGATCACATAGCTATATGGAGAATCTTGATGACATTTTTAGTTTTTATACATACACTTTGTATGTGCTCTGTAATTTTGTGAAATCACAAGACTCCGAGACATTGTGATTAGGAAAAGATTACATTGCTCTATGATTATTTCTCTAATTGTTTTGATGAGAATCTTGATAACATTTTAAGTTTTTATACATTCAATTTGTATGTGCTCTGTAATTTTGTGAAATCACAAGACTCTGAGACATTGTGATTAGGAAAAGATTACATTGCTCTATGATTATTTCTCTAATTGTTTTGATGAGAATCTTGATAACATTTTAAGTTTTTATACATTCAATTTGTATGTGCTCTGTAATTTTGTGAAATCACAAGACTCTGAGACATTGTGATTAGGAAAAGATTACATTGCTCTATGATTATTTCTCTAATTGTTTTGATGAGAATCTTGATAACATTTTAAGTTTTTATACATTCAATTTGTATGTGCTCTGTAGTTTTGTAAAATCACAAGACATTGAGTATTGTTTTGAAAATATATGAAAGGTGCTGAATCTCTTTTGAAATTTATTGTTGAAACTCATTATTGGTTACATGGCCCAACATGCATGTTTGGGAGAGTCCAAACCTTCATTCCTGAGCCGGTAAAATGTGTAGACTGGAGAGCAGATCTGTGTGCATTGCTCAAACTGTTCCCAACATGGGGAAGATTATTTTTTCCATTGGAAGACCCCCCCAATTACAAAACCTCTCCTTTCTTTTTCTAGCTATTTTTGTATTCACAGGGGATGAAAACAACATTTTATGATCTGAAAGGGTTTATTGGTCATGAGGACAAGTTCGGCTGACAATCATTACATGCAGTAATCAAAACAAGAATTTAACATTTTCAAGGCACCAAGTCATCACTGAAACACGTACAACTGTGTACACAAAATGATAAAACATTCAGAAAAAAAAGGTGCAACAATTTTTATTACTGGATGTATGGTTCATTTGACAACATTCAAAAGTAGGGTGTGCAAGATCATGTGCCATTGCTTTGAAAAAATATTAACATGACATTCAGTAAATGCACACAATTACAATTACATGAAGGATAGTATAAAATATAGATTATGTGAGAAACAACAAACCACAAAAGATGCGCTAAACATTTTCATAGGAAATAAGCATTTCTTGAACACAAATGCCGAAAAAGATGTAACATGCAGATGCAAATATATTCACACTATTAGACATCATATTTAAGAGTAAGGATTACAAAAGTCATAATAAGTCATAATTATTTAGAAGGATCATTTTACGTCAATAGCAGAGACAATGGTGCACAATAAATCATCATAGAAGAGAGACATATTATCATTCTTTAAACAAGAACATTAGTACTTAGGATACAATCATACAGGCATTAGGAAACCCACACCACATAAAATCACTTAATAATTGAGGATGACAAGAAACATGTTTACACTTAAAATACACACCGGCATGATATTACTCAGTGCTGCCTCACATTGCCCTGCTCCAAAACTCCTCTGACATTTTCATGGAACAGACCTTAAACAAGGCTCGACGCTCTATCCAAGAAATTCCAGATGGTCTCATCCCTGTCATAAAATAGGTCGTCTTCCAAGTCTCTGGTGAGAGCATTGATATATCTATCAGCAAGAACTGACTGCCACCTACGAGTACTTCTCGCATCCCCCCCATCTCTCATGTGAACATAGTCAAGGTGAGCGTTGTGTTCCAGGCGCGCTATAGCTTCAATAAAGGCATATATATTTGGACGATAGGCGCCAACAGCTTTCCGAAGCATCCTGTTGTGGCTCTCACATGAGTTATTTGTCCGAATCATACATCTGTAAAAGTTCATCCATGTCCTACGATATTGGTTCCCCAGCCACTTCCTCTCAACATAAGTGAAGAAACCACGCAAAATGAATGCAGAAATGAAATCTATGCCTCGGGCCCTTGCTCTAAGGACATCTAGAGCTTCATCAAATAATTCTTCAGGCAAGAGACAGATTACACATGCCATTCGGATAAAATTCAGGACCTGTGGAAAATGTCGGCGAAACCTCAGGACTCGAAGTTTGTTTGCCTTCTTAATGAATGCTCGACACAGATGCCACAAACATCCTTGAAGTGTAGCGTCTGAAATAAGGAAAAAAGTTTTAGCCTAAATGCACATTGCGTCAAGCAAATTAATCAGAAAGTTAACATGGGTATGATTGCAAAGTTAACAGGGAATTAATAAGATCTGAATTTGGGTCATTTGAAGTTTATAGAGGGTATGGTTTGAGATTCCTTTTTGTCTTGGCTATCCTGCATGAAATGTTTATCCAAAACCTTCTTTCTTTTTAGATGGAAACTTTCTTCAAATTTCAATAACATGACCCACAATGAAAATTTTGACTCAAAAAGTACCTGTGTATGTACAGGGCTTGCCCTACTTATACTCTTTGGGGTATAAGTAAAGAAAAATATGTTCTGATTTTTTGATTTAAGTTCTTTGACATAATTGAAAAATTTCCATCAAAGTCGCAAACAGCTTAGTTTACACTCACTTGGGAAGGCTTCTTGCCATGCCTGCTGCTGTGCCAGCTCCCAGTCCGTGATGATTCTCTGTGGGTTCAGATTTGGGCACAGGTGCTTCAACAGTGCAAAGACTGCCCTGTATCCTTCCCTTGTCTTGTTTTCCATCAGAATCCAAGCTATTGGAATGACCTGAATGAGAGCAGAACCATAGATGCCTTTGAAGATTTTGGGAATTTGGTAAAATGAGAGAAATTAAGGGGAGGTTCTGGTGAAAATGCTATATTTTCTCCTAAATAGGTCCCACTGTGAAAATTAGTTAAAAATTTGATGTCTTACCAAGTAATTATTAAAATTTTTCATTGGGGACTCACATTCTATGCCCTGAACCCAGTCGCAGAGCCTTTTTCTCCTATTTAGGCAATAACTTAAGAATTTTCTTGCGCATACTATTTTGTTGTAAAGGGTTGGCCTTGACATTTTTCACTTATTCGATTCATTTTTAAAAGATGCCTGCATGCACAACTTAAAATGTAAATTACATTTTCATTCGCAAGCTTTCTAACCAGTCATTTCACTGTAGTCCATCAAAAATGTACAAAACAGACAAATTTTAGGGACTTTTCAGCTTAAAAAGCTTACAGTTAATAATACATATGATGGAAATTTTGAGCTATGCATGCCGGAATTTTTTGAAAATGAATCGAAGAAGTGAAAAATGTCAAGATCAACCTTTTACGACAAAATAGTGTGCACAAGGAGATTTTTTAAGATACAGCCAAACTAGGCTCAAATAGACTCTTCGACTGGGTTCAGAGCCTGGGATGTGCCTTCAAAAATCAAATTTTTGTCTCCTTGAAGAAAGATTTTCCATTCCAAACAAATTATGACACTGGGATCCATTTGGAAAATGGCAAGATTTTCACCAGAACCTCCCCTTAAAACAAATCTTCATTTGTTGGCGGAGCTATTGACTTTTAAAAGCCAACAGCTTTTCTGAAATGTAAATTATAAAAAGGGGTTATACACTTACACCATGTTTGTAAGTAGTCACAAGTGTAAAGCACTGAGATGAATGCGGAGTGATTGGCCTTGCACGAAATGTTCCGTCCCCTTGCAGTAGTTGGCATTGGCCCATGACATCCAACATTCTTCTTGAAACGAAAACAACGTGGTGAGAACCATCTGCAGCAGTTGTCGAACCTGCATACATATTTTCAGCTCCGTCCACTGTCTGCGAAACTCTAGGGTGCCCCAGAAGAACTTGAGTCAACTCCCGTAGTGTTAGTGGCACCGGTGGAAAGGAGGCCATGCGAGCTCGGTACATTGGGGTTCGCAATCTTCGCAAATTCATTCTGCGCCTCACAGTTCTTGAATACCTTCAAAACACACAAATAACAGTATATAATATTATGTACCAAACCTGATGCATAATATTGAATGTGCTAGGCCAAGCTGGGGAAAAAACTCATTTAGATTTGATCATTTGATTTCCTCACGTAAAATTATACTAAAGATCTAACTGTCAAAAATAATTAAAATAAAGGTAATATTCAAATAAAAAATTGATTCCTCTTTTCTGAGATACTTCACTATTTCAAACAGATTTTAACAGAGATCTATATTTAGAGGGGAGAGTAAGATTGTAGGTAGAACATTGCTCGCTTACCGTCGGTCACGCCGGGCCTGGTCAATAATATCTTGGAAAGACACATGACGAGCATTCCTAACTTGATCGAGTACGTTGGCTCTGAAATGGCGTTCTCCGACCAGGTCGGGGTCTGGCAGGTGATTGTGGGCTTGAGAATGGCGGAAACCTCCTTCCAAACGCAGTATGGCTCTCCCAGGGCACTTCAGTTTTTCGTATTGAACACATTTGAAATAAATTGAGGTATGGGTGCCCAAGTTAAAATGATAAGCATGACCTCCATCACCATTGTGATAAAAGAAAGTGTTGTCTCGCAACCCTTTCTCCGTGAAGAGGCGAACAGCATCACATACAACGGTTAGTAAGTTTAGGACTCTGTAAATTAAAAAAAAAAACAAAGAAAAAACAATCAAATTGGAGAGAAGCAAAGACACGATAATAAACTGTAATGTGACTTCAAGAAGTCTTACATAAGAAGAACGAACGGAGACCGCATTTTCAGTGTCACGTAAGGTAACCGCAGGAACAGAACATGCCGGCCTACACTGTTAAAAAAAAAGTCGAAATTTTCAGACTTTTTAGGATGAAGTCAATTTTGAAACCCAGTGGTCTGAATTTTCAGACCCCCGGACAATCTGAATTTTTGGACCACCTGTCGTCTGAATTTTCAGACTAGCAAGTACTTTGAATTTTACGACTACCAGGTAGTCTGAATTTTCGGACTAATGGCAGTCTGAATTTTTCACCTCGCGGGTTTGAATTCTAAGCCGCCCAGGTAATAAAATTACCACTTTTGTCAGGATGTATATTATGTTTTGGAGATGCATGTTTTAAATTGCTGAGAAACATGGAATGCATGCACTAAATAGAGCAGTTGTAAAACAGCTCTTGTTGTTAAATGTAGCACCCAAAGTTGCGCAAAACTTTAACTAGATATGATATTTTGCTGAGAGAGCTTCCCAAAAAAAACTAGTCCTCGAATGTAAGACTCCAGAAGATGCAGCTGTAAACACTGGAAAGCAGCATGTTGGATCCAGATGCACACTTCGTGGAAACTTTTTCGGCACGATGAAAATACTTTGGGGACGAGGATGAAAGAGGAGTGACAAATTTCCAAAACGCCACCCACTCGCTCATCACCCGTCCCTTTAGTTTGGAAGACGCAATATCAGCATAAGGCTACGCCACTTTCACAGCCTGCTTGCCGCGGATTTCGGATGCTTCAGAGTGGTGACTGCACGCACCCATAAGCAATTTTGGAGCACGGAAAGGCGAAGGCAAAACGGCACTGTACACACTGTGCTGAGCGCCGATGTAACATATAAAACGTTGCTTCACGACGGAGCGTCACGAGAAAGATGACACGCGACGCGGACTTGTATTCGGATGCGATGTGCACTGCTCCGGAGACAAGCTAAAACTGACGCATTCTGTCCAGAACAGAAATCCCGAGTGGCCGAGGGATTAAGGGCCCCCTCCTCTCCCCCCGCCCCGCGCAGGTAGGCTTCGGCCGGCACGCCGGTCCGCGGTGATTTTCCGAACGCCCCGGCTCGGCTCGGTGTGCCTGGCTCGGCTGGCCGCCGCCGGAGCGGCTCGGCTCGGGTGACCCGGGCTTCGGTCCAGGCCGGAACCAGGGCAAACATGTCGCATCCTGCAGCTACCAGCGGAGTGCAGGCTGATTTTAAACTCAACACTAGACGGCCGTTCGCTTAGCTGAGCAAAAGTCTATTTACTACTGCTCTAGCAATTCAGGGTCCATAGCACCTGAAACGCAGTCATGCCTTTTATCAGAAAATAAAGCGTCAATTTCAGACTGCGCAGGATGAAAATTCAGACCTTCTACTACAAATGACTGTTTTAAGACCCCGACGCCGAAAATTTATACCGCGCCATCCAAATATTCAGACTCTTGAGTCCGAAACTAATTTTTCAGACCACAAGGTGTAAAATTAAGACCAACTGTCTGAAAATTCTGACTCAAGTCTGAATTTCAGATTAAGACCACTAGGTCTGAAAAAATTGGTCTGAATTTTCAGACTTTTTTTAACAGTGTATGTTAGACGCAACCAGAGGCAACAAGATGCAGCGAAGCCCCCCAATGACCCTTCTACGCATGCGCAGACGCAGTCTTCTTCTTCGTTTTGTTCTTCTTTTCTATAGCTTTGGAACACCTGATACACAACAAAAGGTGGTAGGGAAGGGACAAGGTAAAGCATAGTTGATTGTCTATGAGTAAAGATTTTGCCTTGATTTCTTTAAAATAGAGAGCTCCAATAGCATGTCTCATCCTCCTGGAAAAGTTACATGGTGTGTTACCAATAAATGATTTTTTGATTACGTTTACCCTTCAAGAGAGGAGACTTCTAATTGGCCGACGCAATCCGACTTCTGGTGCGTTCAATGATTTAAAGGGTTTAAATTCTTCCAGCTAAGCAGCTGGTCAGCTTCCCCTCAAATGTCGCAGAGAGCCCCAAAGCATATTCTACCTACCATTTTAACAATTTATAACAACCGAATCATGGCAGTGCGCCCCCTGATACATCAAATGATGAAAACTGGCATGTGTTAGAATGTGGAAATTATCAATCACCCTACACAAAAGATCCAATTTTTAGGAAGTATGGTGCAATAAAGAAAATCCAACTCCATGTATTTGGTCACTTCACAGAAACAAAACTAAACAACTGGAGACAGATGGCAAAATACAAGATTAGCAGCTCCAGAGTGTTATCATGGCTCCTAATACTTTGAAGCAGAGGAAAAGATGTGTCATTGGGGATAATTTGTAAACAAAATACAGTCATATCCAAACCATTCTGTGCAGCATGAATTTTTAATTTTCAGAAAATTGATCAGGATACACACATTGCCTTTTTCACAAACTTAGATTAGCAGTTAGTAGTATACCAAACTATGAATGGAAATTAAGTTGTTTAAATTCCATGAAGCGAATGAGTACGGTAAAATGAAATCATTCAAATTGACTTAATTAACATCAGTTCTAAACGCATTGCAAAGGAAGTGAGACAAAGTAGGTGGCAGAAATTTCATATCTTCAAATTGCACTGTTAAAAAAAATTACTGAAAATTCATAATTTTTTGTAAGAAGTCGATTTACTTACATTCAGTCTGAATTTTCGTACCAAAACTTTCATACTTCGCGGTCTGAAAGTTTCAGACGACGTTAGTCTGAATTTTCAGATCAACAAGTTGTATGAAAAATGATACCAGTCGGTCTATTTTATCAGACTAAGTTGTACGAAGACGTTGAACAGTCGCACTAAAAAATGCCACTCTGTACAGTAGAACACAAATCGGCGAACTTTTGCCATCGGTTTATGGTAGACGCTCAGCGGATCGTCTCGGCTCAAAAATTAGGTACACGGCAGTAGACTCCTACTTGCAAAGGTAGTGAAGAGGCTAGAGGTGACTGCTGAATTGCGAGGGAGAGCGGCCTTAGCCCAACCACGCGCCGACCCGTGGCCATGCGCGAGAGTGAAATTGTATTCTTTGTTATTTAGCTTATACTGCACTTATTAACCTGAATCTTGCTTTGGTGCGCTCATGCCTTTTCAGACAATCACTTGGAATAAGTTTGTAACAAAATATTCACAATTTCGCCTTCAAGTGGCAATTTTAGCTCCAAAAGATCATCCATGCGACACTAGCGCCACCCAGCGGATAGAGCAATAAGTGTCCATTTCGGAGCTCTGAAACATTCTCTATGCTTTTACGACACTAAACGTAAACATTATTTGAAGTACAACAGTAGTAATGATAAAAGTTCTCAGAAAATCGAAAAATGTACAAAGGGGACGGGGTTTTTCACTCGTTTTCCGATTTCACAAGTATGAATTTAGTTTTCGGACGACAATGTACAAAACTTGATAGCCATCGCTCTAAATATTCAGACTTGCTAGTCTAAATTCAAATTTCAGACAACAGGTCAAACTTTTCAGACAGTTGGTCTTAATATTCGTACCATTTTATGAATTTACGATTCAGACCGCAAAGTAAGACGAAATCAGTCTGAATTTTCATATTTTTTTTAACAGTGTGGTTAGATCTTCAACGTGATGCAGTTCCAATACTTCCAGGAGATCCATTGGTACACAACAGTTACAGATTTGGGGATTCAATCAAATAAAAGAAAAGTAGAAGTTGAACTTGCAGTGCACTCCCAGGGACAATTATTTTTGGTGCCGGCTTATCATTCCAATCGCATATCTTTTATCAAATATTGCAGAATACTGAGCAATCAGTGAATCACTCATGCAAACAAGCCAAACCAGAGTCATCACAGTACAAAGGTTCACTAGGCCATTAAAGCCTTACTCAAGCCACAAGGAAACTATATTCCTCAATACAAAAAAAAAAAAAAAACAAAAAGAGAGACAGAGAGAGAGCTCAGAGGAAAGAGAACTACTTTGGTGTAAATGTGTACAATGAATGGCAAATTCGATCTCTCTCTTTTCTCACTATGGAGGCTTTGAAATTTGGAGGGATGACAAGACGAAGGAAAAATGAACTAGCATTCATAAAGGAAGTTGTCCCAGGGAGCAGTTTTCTTTTGTGGATGAACAGCGACAGAAATTTCAGGTCAGCAGCTCCTAATGCAAGCACTGGAGATGCACCTGTGAACACCAAATTCATACATGGTCAGCTTTGACTCTCGAACAGCTACAGACTGACCTAAAATGTCACTAAAGTTGTGATATTATGTACATTTCAATAACAATTTTTCATTTCGTCAGTCAACAACTTATCGATGAACTTGTAATGGGCCTTTCAAGTAGGAAAATGTTGGAACATTTTCTAAGCAGTAAAAAGTGGCAAGTCCAACACTTTAAATTGAAAAAGGAGGAAGTGCATAGGAAATTCAAAACATACAGCCCTAAATAGGGAAAGAAGCCTCTTTAACTGAGTTTGGACAATGTTGTGTGACTCCCTACTTTTGAGTGAGTAAATTTCTACGATATACTTCAAATGTCTTGCAAAATTTTGACATTGGAACCAATTTAGAAGAAATAAAGATTTTCACCTGAACCTTCCCTTAACACTCCTCATTAGAAATTGCAACAAGTTCAGAGCAACTTCACTACATTGAAAACTCACTTGTGATAGCTGCAATGAAAGATGATCCATTTCCATGGAGTAAGGATCTTCCAAAACAGGCAAGTTGGCTTCATGAAGGAAATCGAACAAAGCCCTAAAACACAGAAAATTGAATTAATATAAAAAAGTACTCACAATGTTCTCCTGACACTGATTGATCATTTGAAAAGTACAGTGAGCCTGTTCTCACAGGAGCCCTATAAAGCTCATGACTGAACGGAAAGCAAATTGAGGTGCAACTCGTGTTCACTTGACTTCAGTAACCTGTCACAATTTTGCACCTATCTCGTTCAATATCTCACAAATTATGCAATAGGAAGGTTCACCTATGATATTAACTATTTTGGGATTCAGCTCGTTTCCTAATTATTAAAATTTACAATGAGTCTTTGGTGATGTAACTTCCTTAAATTGAAGGATGAAACCTTGCAAACTAAGACATAACCGGTTGGAATCATTACCAGATATACATGTCCGTAAGAATGACCTTGCAGTGACTTCAAAAGAACGGCAAAGTGCCAATTGAATTGCCACAGAACAGTGTATTCTAAAAGATTAAAACTACAAAGCCATGATCAATATTAAGTAGCTAATAAATAAGGAATACCAAATTGATATCAACAGTAAAGTAATAATAGCTGCACCAAGCTTCTCCACTGGGGTCAGTAAAGTGGATAATCACCTCAAGACAAGTCGAGTGAACGGAGTCCAGGAGCATGGGCAACAGGGGAACGGTGGGCGGACTGCATCATCAACAGGTTCGGAAACACCTAGGGTAGGGCGTTATCCTGAAAAGAAACAAATTAAAAATAGGTTAACAAAGGTGATTAAAGAGGTGCACATCCAGCTGCTAGAAAAAAATTAAATTAGTTTGCCCTCAAAAGTGTTACTTCTCTGAGAGATTCTGACGAGGTGCTTTGTGGCAACATGAACTTTAGAAGCAAAAGAAATAGTGCACTTACTTATTCTTGAATGGAAAAAGACAACACACATACCCTAACTATAATCTTAGGACTTTAAAGACAGCCCAGTACCTGGAATTCTGCAGTGTCGTGGTGGACTCCAGTTTCAAAATAAGAAGGTGTTGTTCCTCTCCAGTGCTCTCGCACGAGGTTCCCGGGCTGCTGACCGTTTAATGCTGCCATGACTTCTGCATAACAAAACGAAACGGGAGAAATTAGAAAACACAAGCCTGTAGTTGGCCGATAACACTGATTAAGAAGGGTTATGCCCGAAACGCCAACCAAAGTCGAGAAAAGCGTTTGAAAACAAAAGACACATGGCACAAAATTGATACGGCGCGGATGCGACGGAACAGATAAATGAAGCAGAAACTATTTGCGCGGATATTACATGGATCTGCATGGCTAGGAATGGAAAGAAAGTTTGTCAACAAACACCGAACCGAAAGTCACTCTCGTTTTCTAGCGGTGCGTTCCAAAATTACAACGTGTTCCACACAGGCCATCCTCTCCCCCCTCCCGATTATTCGCAGTCGCAGTGCAGGACGGTCGACACGGTCAGAGTGAAAAGTTACGAAAAACGGTAAAAAAAAACTTCACTTGACTTCTCTTACTTGATTAAAATGTATTTAAATATCATTTAGAACTTAAGGAACGGGCTTGTGTTGTTAACTTTCTTAGGGGCAGCTGCGCAGAACGACGGCGCATCGATGCGTCCCACCCGCCCTCTCTCGGCCGCAGGAGGAACTACTTTCAAACTCGTTAACGGTCAACGGATAACTGTCGCGCCCCGCCCTGAATGCTTTGTGAATTTCGTTAGTTCATGTTAACCAGTGCAAGGATTGTATGACGGGGGCACTTTACCTTCCTCAAAACCGCTGGTGAAATGAGCAGCATGATGAGTTACGCCGAATGAACCGTTTTTCCGCCTTCAATTATGGTGCTCCGGTCCCAACGGCTGTCCCTCGCAGGTGAGTCTCATAGCAATTCTCTCCACCTTTTCATATGTTTGTAAATGAATTTATCCTTGAATTGCCTTGAAATTGCCCTCTTTCTGTACTTGATGTAAAACTTCCATTAGTTGGGTTATGTCCGGGTCGATCCTTGAACCGCATAACCTCTCTGTATAAGTGTGCTTACTTCTTCTATTTATCTTGCATCATGACCCTTTTTAAGGGAGCACGCACACTTTATGAGTTATTGGACGTTTGCAGCCGTTTCTCTTCCACCTTTGAGAAACTCCATCAATCATGTTGCTGTACCTATAAAAAGAATTATTTGTTTTGCAGTGGGCCCTGGTGTTTGGACTTGGTTGTTGAACAAGGAAGGCTGCCCTTTACACCTGTACAATGCAGATCCAAATGTTATGGCCAATTGGTGAGTCTCTGATAGCACTTGTGTGCACACGGATAGTTAAAGTGAGTCACCACTTCATTAGCCTTGTTTTGTTTCCAGGAAATGTTACGCGTTTATGATTATGCTGATAGGTCAAGGATGAATGAAGGAATTTGACAAGTCTTTGTGAATGATTGCTCGCCAACATACCTCTACTCACCTACAGGTATTACAGTCCCAATACAGTTTTTGAAGTTCATGCACCGGCAGGGATGATACTGATTTTTGTGGTTATGGTTCCAGGAGTTAAAGTGTGGAATCGAATGGTGGTCGACTGGAATGGAAGATACTGCCTGGCCTGAACAGGAGGAACGACTTCATCAACACGCAGCAGCCCACCACGGATGGAAGCAACCTCACATCTTCTGCGTAAAGACTGCGGACCAAGACAATTCTCTTCATCGGGTTCCTCATATCCAGTGTCTCCGTGTTCAAGGAAAGTTCACCATCACCTCATAAGTAAGGCTGTTTGAATGTCAGTACGTCTTTCCGTGTATCAGAGTCAAGCTTCATCAATTCAGCCACACCCTTCTAACGGGCAGCATTTCAATCTCAGCGCTATTGCAAGGGCGATTCTGTTTGAAGAAACTGTTGTCAAACTCAGTTCAAACATGGATTGATAGGATTAGAAAAGGTTCATTGCAGTAGTATCATCTAGATTAGTGTTACCAAATAACTGTGTTGTGTTGTCGCAATAATTTTTACTTCCATCTGCGCCTGACTTGGTTCTGTTCCCTGCCTACTCCGCTAGGCAGAGAGGCACGGAGAAGTTGCATATGCTTTGACAGTGGCCGCCCCAATGTATTTTCTGTATGGCCTGGACAGTTAGAGCTAGTGCTGCTTACAGAGTGGCCGCCCCATTGCCAACTCTTACAGTGTGGCCTGGCCAGTTGGAGCGAGTGCTGCTTTGACTGTGGCCGCCCCATTGCCTACTCTTACGGTGTGGCCTGGCAAGTAAGGGTGGTTGCTGCTTTGTGAGTGTCCGCCCCATTGCTTACTTGTCGTGCTGGCGGGCGTGCCGATGCAAGCCCCGAGCGCTGCGGTAACGTGGCCGGGGCACCGGCTCGCTCTAGAACTCGGCGCGCTACTCGTTGTGCTGGCCGGCGTGTCGGCGCAAAGCCTCGAGTGCTGCGGTGACGTGGCCGAGGCTGCGGCTCGCTCTAGAACTCGCCGCACTACTTTGTGCTGGCGCGAGGGTGCCTTGCCCCGAGGCAGCCGCGTGGTCGTGGCCTCGAACCGAACCTCTGCGTGCCTGAGGGTACGTGCTTGGCGTTCGCGTGTCTTGGCCCGGGGCCCGGGTTGTGCTTATCGACTCACCCGTCAGGTGCGCGTCGTGGCCGGGCTGCTGGCATTGTTGGCTGCGCTCGAGTGCTACGACGACGTCCCCGCGGCCCCTCGGTTGCGAGGGACGGAGCTGGAAGGCGTGGACGGGTGCGGGTGGTGGCGAGGGTGCCGGCTCTGAAGTCTCGAGCGCTGCGGTGACGTGGCCGAGGCTGCGGCTCGGTCTACAACTCGCCGCACTTCTTGTGCTGGCGCGAGGGTGCCGGCGCAAGGCCCGAGTGCTGCGATGACGTGGCCGGGGCCCCGTCTCGTTCTAGAACTCGCCGCACTACTTGTGCTGGCGCTAGGGTGCCGGCGCGAAGCCCCGCGCGCTGCTTTGACGTGGCCGGGGCCCCGTCTCGTTCTAGAACTCGCCGCACTACTTGTGCTGGCGCGAGAGTGTCGGCGCGAAGCCCCGCGCGCTGCGGAAACGTGGCCGAGGCTGCGGCTCTGTCTAGAACTCGGCGCACTACATGGGCTGGCCGGCGTACAAGTCAGTCTGAGAGGGCGCCAGCGGCTCTAGAGCGCGGCCCATGATGTGCAGGCGGGCGAGCGGGCGCGGAGCATTGCCTCCTTGTTGTGCTGGCGGGCGTGTCGGCGCAAGCCCCGAGTGCTGTGGTACCGTGGCCGAGGCTCCTGCTTGCACATGAACGCGGCGCGCCACTTGATGTGCTGGCATCGCCTTCCCGGCGAACCTTTTCCGAGTGTTCCCAAACACTCGCAAGTGGCAAGCCTGCCTAGCCAAACGCGTCGATAGTGTTTTGTCTGCCTCCAGTGGCGAGTCGCCAATCGGTTGTAAAAGGGGGAACGTAATCGCATCAGTCGCCTGGTAATAGTGCGTAGTCTTAGTTTAGCCACTGGTGCGCGTTTGGTTGCCTACAGCCATTGCTTAGGTGCCCAAGTGGTGTAGCCCCGCCTGGCCCGCGTCGTGGTTTAAGTGCCTGGTTCACGTTGCCACGCCCGTGCGGCCGTTTTACCCCTGCCTGCATGGCGGCGTGGTGTTCAAGTGCTGCGAGTCCCGCTTGCCCCGAGGCAGCCGCGTGGTCGTGGCCTCGAACCGAACCTCTGCGTGCCTGAGGGTACCGAGGGTACATGCTTGGCGTTCGCGTGTCGTGGCCCGGGGCCCGGGTTGTGCTTATCGACTCACCCGTCAGGTGCGCGTCGTGGCCGGGCTGCTGGCATTGTTGGCTGCGCCCGAGTGCTACGACGACGTCCCCGCGGCCCCTCGGTTGCGAGGGACGGAGCTGGAAGGCGTGGACGGGTGCGGGTGGTGGCGAGGGTGCCGGCTCTGAAGTCTCGAGCGCTGCGGTGACGTGGCCGAGGCTGCGGCTCGGTCTACAACTCGCCGCACTTCTTGTGCTGGCGCGAGGGTGCCGGCGCAAGGCCCGAGTGCTGCGATGACGTGGCCGGGGCCCCGTCTCGTTCTAGAACTCGCCGCACTACTTGTGCTGGCGCGAGGGTGCCGGCGCGAAGCCCCGAGTGCTGCGTTGACGTGGCCGGGGCCCCGTCTCGTTCTAGAACTCGCCGCACTACTTGTGCTGGCGCGAGGGTGCCGGCGCGAAGCCCCGAGTGCTGCGTTGACGTGGCCGGGGCCCCGTCTCGTTCTAGAACTCGCCGCACTACTTGTGCTGGCGCGAGAGTGTCGGCGCGAAGCCCCGCGCGCTGCGGAAACGTGGCCGAGGCTGCGGCTCTGTCTAGAACCCGGCGCACTACATGGGCTGGCCGGCGGACAAGTCAGTCTGAGACGGCGACAGCGGCTCCAGAGCGCGGGGCTCTACGTGGCGTGCACGTTTAGTAGTGTAGGCGTGCTGCGCGAAGGAGGCCGAGCCGAATAACGCCTGTTCCTCGCGGCTTGGCCTTAGCGCCTTTCCGCCGCACTAAATCGCGCACTTTGCTTATCCCCGTTTATCGGCCTTATCGGTAGTGTAGGAACATATGGTGTTTTCAGGGCAGAATCTTCTTTTATTATTTGTAGCGGGCGGCACTATATTTACCTGATGATTGTTATTGTATCAAAATTTTCCTGTGTTACAACTAGCGCACGGTTCACTCAAACCTCGAAATCAGGGAATAAAAATAGGGTCAGGGAAATCAGGAAGATGTCAGGGAATTTCGCAAAATGCAGCATAATGTCAGGGGAAAATAAATTTACTGCGAGACTGGACCTGTTTGCTGGACAACCGCGGAGGAAAGCGCGAGACACTGGTCGTTCGACTTCAACTCAAGTTCTTTTGTATTAGCCCTGTAGCGAGATCAAGTATCTTTTATTGTGAGCATTTGTTTGTAATATTTTTTTTGTATATTTGCGGTTGTTTGATAGCTCCCTCTTGTTAAGCTACTGTGACTGTTTTTGTCTAACAAGATTGCTTCTTTATAAGGCTGTTTTTAAGTGGAAACTATGTTTTGTTTATTATAAATACTCTTGCCTTGATTGTTTCGTTATACCGTGCACTGCTGTTTTCCTTTGAATAAACTGATCAATATCATCATGGTAATACTTTTCCTTTACAACTTCCTGTCAATCAATTTGATAAGACATATGCTATCGGCGGTGCGTTAGCTAAGCCAATTGCCGCATAATTTTTGTAACGTCCAGTTGACGACATTCATGTTTGTACGGCGGATCTGGGTAATTGGCGTTCTAGCACGCCAATACTCTTTCAAGGACATATCACAACAAAATTACATCCAAAAGTATTGAAGGTGGCTTGTGACACACCACATAACAACTTATCGTCGCACCGAGCACTGGGGGACTACATGCTATGGAGGAAAAGTTCTTACACGTATTTGACCATGATGTCTTTAGAGGTAAAATACTGGTTGCGTCTTTAGAGGTAAATCACTGGTTCCATAGACGTATTTGACCGTGGTGTCTTTAGATGTAAAAAATTAGTTTAGAGGAAAAAGATTAGAGGAGACGGGAGGCAGCAAATATGGCCTTAGAGGTAGACGGCTTAGAGGAAATGCACAACTCCCACGGTTATTCCAGTCCCAAAAAACCATGGATTGCATGGGAAAGCCTTGTTGGTTTGGGTATTTACATTTATATGTTGTTACTTAAAATACTTCTCTGAACTGGTAGTATGATCGTGGATAACATGGAACAGTCATTTTTCCCTTTAAGATTGAAAGACTCAGAATGTATGATACACCCCAGAACACACCCTGAAATGAGTTGAAGGTAGTGGATTTTTAAGTGGTCCATGCTTTATTTTCTATTCCAACATATTTTATGATGGTATCTTGTAATATCTTGGCGCTTCGCCCTTTTTCAGGCTTCCAAGTGACGAGCGATTTGGCGGAGAATAAGGTGTGCCTCTGGAGACACGACAAGTTTGTTTGTCAAGGTCTGCAGCATGTCAGACACTGCGACGGCCTTCCAGCCGGATGTCTTGCCGGCAACCATGTCGAAGTACTTGTTGATGTGGTCCTTGCCAACTGTCTCTATAAGCTCAATAATGCTGTTGTAGTTTGACTGTAAATGTGAAAATTTGGCAATAAGTGCAATGGCCTCTTTTTAACGTCCGTAAATTTGACTTCAACTCCTTTCACATCTGACGAACGCGATATCAAAGAAACTGCCTAAAGCCGTCTTTCAGATTCAGACAAAAAGGGTCGTTGCTTTAAAGGTGAATCGTAACATTTCCATTTGCGTGTAGTCATTGTAACGTTTAGATTGACCAGCTCCCCCGCGCGTGACTCAAGCAGCTGTTTGGCGTCCAGCGCTGCAACAGTGCGAAATGGTCTAACCTAACACTCAAAAATGTATTTTCTACGAAAGCGCTGTACTGCCCTGGCGGATTCACTTTGTGTTGTTTTATACTTTATGCATTAAAATATGAACAATTTTTCTCTTTCCGTTTGGATTTTATGACGTTTTTACAAAAGCACTGTTTTTGGAGTGATGTCCCCCCTTAAGTACACTTCTGCAGATGTGTACCTCGGACACGTTACATCTTGTAGTTTACGGGACAGTTTTGGAACGTCTTGAATTTTGTTACGTTACCTTGACAAGCCTCGGGAAGAGGTTGGTGACGAGGTGGTTCAGGATGTAGTTTATTGCATCAATTTGAAACTGGAATTTAAAAAGAACACATAATAGAAGTGACGAGAAATGGCATCAGAGAATTCCAGGAAGGTGGATGAAAAATAGTATAGAAATGTGAACGTTTTGGTACACACTGTTACTTTGTGGAATCCAAAGTCGACGTTGCAGATGTTATCCACGGTGATGGAATTGTCGGGGTTGATTGTAATATCCAGATCAGCGTTCGCTTTGAGTCCTTCTAGCTTCACACTGCAACCAGATTGCAATCCGGGAGTGAAGCGTAGGCTTCAACAATCACACATTCGCAAAGAACGCAGAGGGAACTTACGAGACTGCACTCTTTCCGTCCAGCTGGAGGTCGAGGAAACTAATCTGAATATTGCCTTGCAGATCGTACTCCAAGGTTGCGTTTGCTGCAGGCAGTTCAATGGCAAGAGACACGCGGCCACTGACGTCTCCAGCGGTCTGCTCCAGCCTCGTCACGGTGAAGGAGGAGATGCCGTCGACGACCAGGTCGTTCAGGGAGCCAGACGCCCTGCAACATTGTGTGGAGTCAGTTCCATGTTCAGACCTGTTCACTCTCAGACAGTTATTGGCTTATTGTACTTTGTCAAAGAGTTTTTGACACAGCAAAAAGAGCACTTTTTCCTCCACATCTATGTAAGATTTCGTTCGTCATATTGGACTTAGAGTGAATTTGCTATTGACAAAGAGTCAATTTGCTATTGACAAAATGTTAATTTGCTATTGACAAAGAGTCAATTTGCTATTGACAAAGAGTCAATTTGCTGTTGACAAAGAGTCAATTTGCTTTTGACAACGAGTCAATTTGCTGTTGACAAAGAGTCAATTTGCTATTGACAAAGAGTCAATTTGCTTTTGACAAAGAGTCAATTTGATGGTGACAAAGAGTCAATTTGCTAGTGACAAAGAGTCAATTTGCTATGGACGAAGAGTCATACGCAATTGACTTCAAAAATGAGACAATCAACAGGCGATTAATTTTTGGCAAGTGCGCAGTTGGCAACACATTCTGTTGGTAGCAATGCTTTTAACTCCTGCCCCGCAGACGACAAAGTACCTTACAGAAAAGGAGCTTTGGACTTTAAGGTTGTGTGTTAAGGAAAATTATTTGCGGGTAGAGGAGGTGAGGTACGCCTAAACTGACTATGGGATCTTATTGAACTTCCATTTCAGACCCAAATCACATGTTTGGAGCGCAGTTGGAGGCAGCAATCACGACTTCCACGATTTTTTACAAACCAGTGCAAAAATGACACGGTTTGCGTGATACGGACCGCAATTTTCATCCGATTTGGACGAGATTTTGCACAGACAATCTTGAGACCCATCATTCTGGTGTGAATTAGGATAATTGCGATCAATTATCTTTTAATATATCTGAACCGAAGTTTTTTTTTTTTTAATGGGCTAGAAAAATGCTGTTTTCGGAATTTGTCATTTTGCCGTATTGTTTGAGGTACTTACAATTATTCCAAAAATTTTTCCCTACTTCAGACCAGAATGACATGTATTTAGATGGCCCACACAAAATTTGGACCATTTTGGTCCAACAGTTTGGTCCAAATCGCGCAAACCCATGACCTATGTATTTTATGCGGTGGTTAAGCGAAATTCGACCAACTCGCAGTAGCTGCTCAAGACACCTATTAAAATTTGTGATTTTGATCGTTAGTTACAGTATGAAAAGATTCTATGATCAGTTTTTACGCCCTGCATGTCATGCGTCCGCAGAAGTTTTTCGCAAACACAGTATTTTTTGACCTTGCGTAGTGTAGTAACGCTTCATAAATGATCCATGAGGCGAAAGAAAGCGATAACGAAGTTTTCATTACTTTTCAGAAGAGACAAAAAAAATTCCAATGCTTACGCATTGCACGGTGTTCCGGTTGTGGAAATCAATTTGAAGTCTGTCGTCTAAACGTTAATTTTACCGTTATTTACGTAACTTTGAATCCTACCGGTATTTTTACATCCCCAAACCTGATTCAGTTAACAAAATGACCATCTCAATCTATCTCGCGATCTCGCAATTTACAGTGCTCTTGTTCGTCGAAAGTCATCCGCGTTCTGAAACCACCCCTCCCAAGTTTATAAAGTTTGTCAAACCAACCGTCGTGCTGGTTACAGAATTGAGGAACACATCACAAGAGAACCGCAGCCTTTAAAAGCAAGCCAAACAGTCCAACCTCAGCAAAAATGGAGGGGCAGCTCTACTATGCGCGACTACTCGTTTTTTCACCCCCGCGATTTTCGAAAAGGCGCAGACGCCGAGAAAATTGTCGCCAACCCCCGAAAATTAATTTGTTGCGTCTTTTCTGCAACGAACTTTTTACTGACAGACTTCAAAGATGTTCCAATGTTGGGATATCGCGCAATGCGTTAGCATTGGAATTTTCGAATTTCACGGCGTTTTGATTTCGTTTTATCAACGACTTTAAATTTTGACAGTTAGTACGATGGCACCGTGTCGTTGCCATGGAGACTTTTTTTCATGTTTTAACCATTTTCTCAGAACACAGAAGATTTCTTGTAACTTTGATAAGGCACGGGGTTTAGTTTTGAGGAGTGGCACATTTTCTCTTTGAAACGTTTCTGGAAAATGTGAACAGATAAGGGTGCTTGATTGTTGCAAATTTATGTTTTAGTCGTTTACAGTAAATTCTCACGATTAATTTTTGAAATTAATCCTTCGTCGGAACCCCTAAAAAAAAAACTGTTTGCAAGATTTACTTAATCCAGTCCAATGAATGATGCAGTTGCATTTTTGTCAATAAAGACTAAGGAGTAACTGGAAATTTTCGTAAGTGTAACATCCCTCTGTGTGCGATTTTTCTGACCTGAATCTTTATGTAAGAATGAACTACGAATCCCTGTTACCAAAGTTCTCCCAAGCGAGGTGGAATTTAGAAAGGTTTTGTCTGTCTGTCTGTCTGTCTGCCCTAAGCACCTGAACGGCTCGGTCGATTCAGCTGAGATTTTGCAGGGTCATTATATATATTGAGATTTCATTGGGTAACAACATTTCTTGACTTGGTACGGCGAGAGGTTCTTGATATATGCAAAACAAGCTACTGTTCTATATATAAGTTCACACCTATGTTTCTGGAGGTCCCAGGCCACCGGTTCACCAACTAAAGGCATTCTCGTGGCGCAAATTGGGCTCAAAACGCCTAATTTTGGCTTTCCCAACCGCGCGACTCCCCATGGACGGACAGGACATTAAGGAAGGGTTCCTCTATGATCTTACTTGATGACACTGTTGTTGGCGTTGATCGGGATCTGGATGATGTCCAGAGGATCCAGAACTGGAATGCTATACTCCAACGCTCCGGTCTTCAAAATCTTTTGAAGGTTGGCGATTTCCTCCGCCAAGCGATCGGCGGCGGAAACAGGCGACGCAGTAGGAAGAGCCGACGCAGTAGGAAGAGCCGACGCAGTAGGAAGAGCCGACGCAGTAGGAAGAGCCGACGCCTGCTGGGAGACCAGTACGGCACCCACAACCAGCAGCCACGTAACGCTGCGAACAGATGATGAATGAACGGACATTGTTATTAACTTGAAGCGTTACGAGTTTACGGGGCTTGAAGTCGAGCCAAAGTGGTTCATCTGCTCAGATTCTGTCTATGTAACTGGATGGAGGATTTCAAATAGTACTGCGGTCATTCTAGCATCACGTCTTCAAGCCTGCACAAAATTAAAAATTTGGAACTAACAAATTTTGACAAGAAATGTTGTTCAATCTTGTGGTGAGAGTCCCGGGAGCGCTGCTGCAGGTGCATCATCGTCTACATGGGGTCGAGGAGGATTTCGGCAACGGATACAGCTAGAAGGGCATGTATGGGTATTTTTACAATCAGGGCGACGAGAAAAAAACCAACGGTGCCACTGTCAAGTGAATCGGAGAAGTTTGGACTCGGGTTCGAATCCCAGTGGGGTACATTTTGAACATTCTTTTTCATCGAGTTTTTGCATTGTTATTGATGTTTATGAGGGTGCTTATGACAAAAATCACATCTGTTTTACGCCAGACTCAGATTCAAATCCCGTAAGGGTTAAAAAAAGGCGAAATTCAAACATTCCTTAATGTACGGGACGGGGGTCTAGGACAAGTCGTCCCGACCGACTCACAGTGGGCCAGAACCCCTATTTTCGTGATCACGGCCTCCTGCACAGCCGTTTTTTGACCGAATTGGATGAAATTTTAACTGAAGCTTCCTAAAAGGTCCCTTTAGAGATGGAAAAAGTCAGGTTTGCATGATTGTGTTTAAAAGGTATATTTGGCTAATGTATAAATCCAATTAACACTAAATTGCAAAAAATGCTATTTTGTTGCATAGATTATGGTATAAGCAGGTGCTGTGCAAAATTTCAGGACCACAGGACAACAGAAACATGCATATTTCGTCAATTAAAGGTTAAAATTAAGTGAAAATGGAGGTTTTTGACTATTTTTTGTGTATTGGTGTAAGGTGTATGGTTTATTTGGGGTATGATGTAAATACGGCACCCGAAACTAGTTCACACTCTCATTCCAGGAGCGTGACATCAGGTTGAAACAAACGTGACAAAATGTCACATTCGTTTGAGCATTGTGTCACGTTCGTTTGAATGTGAAAAAACTAATTTTTAGTAGATTTACATTCAAACGAATGTGAAACTTTGTCACGTTCGTTTTAACGTGATGTCACGTTCCTGGAATGAGAGCGCATTCTTATATCGAGCGTGGACTAGTACCAACAAGGGTTGACACGTCTAAGCAACCTGACACGTTCCAACACGCACTGAACAGTTTGTATTAGCGCAGAGACGTTTTAACGGTACCAACACGTATAGTGAATTTTGGACTTGTTCCGACACGTATCGACGAGTTTCAGTTTTCATCAAGTTCTTACGCTTCACTACAAATCCAAAGGTCAGACTTCTCGCCACTCCAGAGGCAAGACATAAAAGTCTCGCCAAGATTTGGTCAGACCTGAAAGTCTCGCCAAAATTTGGTCAGACAAGAAAGTCTCGCCAAAAAACGGTCATACACAAAAGTCTGACCCCAAAATGGCGAGACTTTTGTGTCTGACCGCTACCTAAAGGCCGAAACGCGCCGGACGGTTACGGCCTAAAGGCTGTGGTCAGACACAAAAGTCTCGCCATTTTGGGGTCAGACTTTTGTGTATGACCGTTTTGTGGCGAGACTTTTTTGTCTGACCAAATTTTGGCGAGACTTTCAGGTCTGACCAAATCTTGGCGAGACTTTAATGTCTCGCCATATTTTGGCGTGAAGTCTTTCCATCCAAATTGCAGTGTTAACAAGACGGGAGACTTCCCGACACACACCGACACTAACCACAACGTTAGAACGTCGACGCGTACCGATAACACGTTCGAGTACGTTCGAACACGTTTTAACACACTCGAACACGTTGGGACACGTCCCGACAAGCTCAGACGTGTTCGGACACGTTCGAACACACGTTTGAACACATTTGGACACTTTCAGACGTCCAAACATGTTTGAACTCGTCCGAGCAGGTTTGGACGCGTTTGAACACGTTCAAACACGTTCGAACAAGACATTTGTACTCAGGAAGCTACATAAATCAGATGCGGAGAGGCGCTGAAGCCGATTTGGCATCAAAAACACATAACCGTCAAAAACCATTTATTTTTAGACATGCTAATATTATCAAAAATCGGTGCTAAAAAAAATTGCGGCTGAGTGCGGTTGAACGGCCGGTTGCCCGTAGTAGCTACAGCATCCACCTACCGATCCCAGTTGAAATGGTCGGGGGGTAAAGGGGGGTAACATAACTTTTCCTCCAATTTATGTCGAATTTGGGCATTTTGGGCAATATTTTGCTTGGAAGTGTTGTCTGTATAACCCTTAGATGGACGAAGTTCGGGTCTGGTTCTCTCCCAGCACATTTTTATACAGTATTAATTAAAGTTCCGTGCTGATATGCAGGCTACCTGGAATGGTTTGCATCCAAACTGGGAGGAAGCGATAATGTGCGATTTACACAAAATCATGAAAATATAGATACAAATTCTGACTTTGCAGCCCTGCCATTCAAATACGATGCGTCCTATCGCCAAACCAAAGCTTGATTTGAGTTCAGTGGACATTTTTGAGTGGAGAAGCGGTATTGGATGGGTTCCAAAGTCACTTTAAATTTTGACCCTATGATCACGGAAATAGGGGTTCTGACCCACTGTGCGACTCGTACCCGGCACAATACGTCCCGAGGTTATCCCGTCCCAACCCAAGTGGTCCCCGTCCTAAATCGTCCCAATAATTATATATTTCGAAAAATTGTTATTAATTGAAATTGACCGTATTTTACGATGGGCCCTATGAATAGCTGCTTCGTGTCGTACCAACAAGAACATATGTTTTCTAGGGTGCGCCAAACACAAATCTGCTTTCAGGAATTTTCCTGATTCTTAACTTGAAACTCAATATGAGGCCACTGTGTTAAAGCTTTTATTTTCGGTATTACAGTTTCACATTCTTACAAGTTTCTCAAACATAAATATCTTATCGCTACTTTTACTGTTATTTAAATACGATACAATAGGAACAATTTCTGGCAACAGCAAAACAGCAGAATGGCACGAACCTCATGATGGTGTTGACCGTTGAAAAGATACTGCTCCTGCAGCATGAGGCACCTGTATTTATCGTTGATAGGACAGAGTCAAAACACAATGCTCAAAGTGTTTTTCGTTTGAACTTGTCTCGCTTATCTTAAAAGATTAGAGCCAACAGTGCTTAGTGCAACGGAAATACAGTGAAGAGGATGAGAATTGTTCAGCACAGCTCCGCTATTAAGGAGGAGACTCGTCTTTAACACAAAAACGAGATAAAATGTTGTAAAAATTGACTAAGTTGAAACGAGCTTGCAAAGTCAGACAAACAGCGAGACAAACAAAAACACTAACATACACTACCGCTCAAAATAGGGTACTTTCGTAGATCCCTGGACCAGAAGCACACAGACGCCATGTTGGCGGAAGTAGATCCAAACTTGACATGGGAAAGAGACGTTAGTCGAACGTATCGGCCACACTTGAACATAAACAGTCGTTTGATGCTTGTTTGCGGTGCGTATGTGTTTCGCGAGCAATATTTGTACAGCTCGGCTGTAGTTTTAGATCCGAAGAGAGGTTAGTTTCCGGCCAATTTGGCGTCTGCTGGTCTGCTTGCTTCCGGTTCAGGATCTACGAAAGTACCCTATTAGCGGCTGGGTGATTCCGTGCGTAGAGGGTCATTTTGAATGTATCAAATGTTCTTTTTTAAAGTTCAACTTTAGGGGCTATATTTGGTGTAGATGGCATACATAGTGCCCCACAGTACCCCTCTGAGCGTGGCAGCGCTACAAGTTGACTTTTAATTTCAATCCCTATGAAATGCGGCGGAATTTACAGAAATTATGATGGAATTTACAGATTATGGACTTTACAAAGCGAAGTTTTTAGTCTCCTGACCCGCTGGGTTACAAGATAGGTAGAAACTGTTGACGGTGTCATTTTAAGCATCCAAAATAGCGTTTTTTAGCGAAGATTGTTGGAACTTTCTCCCTCAGATGGAGGAGGTGAGGTCCGAAACGGAATTTACAACTATTTATACACCCTTACCGTTTTGAACAATTCTGACGGCCTGGAAGCGTCGTTTGACCGCCCCAGGTCCCGCGGGAACGGGCTTCTGGAAGTGTTTTTTATGTTCTTTCGATCCCAAGTGGTCGCGAGGTTTCAAAATGAAAAGGAACCCCAGAAGACCGTCATTTGTGTAAACAGCATAGGTCACATGGTCACGCGGTGGACATTTTCCCAAGGGCTGTTTCGTGTTCAACAAGTGATGATACAAAGGTCACCTTCAGTAATTTTGTGAAGAATAAGTCAGGGAAGAGAGTGAAATAGCCAGTTTTCTTTTGATGTGGCTGAGTCATATACTACAGCATGGCAATGTTGTCTTATAGGTGTTGGTGACCATGACGGAACTTACAAAACGACACTTTAACAGCTTACGAAACCTAGATAAACAAAAGTTAAATCGACTTATCCACATGAGGACATGGTCTTCGTTTAGTAAAACAAATTTGAATTGCCCAAGCTACCAAATCTACCTCAGTTCAGGCGCAAGGCCCCGGTGACCCCTACGCACGGAATCACCCGGCTCCCTTTTTGCAAACGGAGTAGTTTCTCTCACTGTGCGAAAAAACCGCAGTGAATCCAGTTTATTTTTTTGCCGGGATTTACTGTAGTTTAGAACGCAGGATCTACTATGCCTGGCGACATTATTTACTGTACCTGGTACAGGATATTCCGTACTCCACTCCTGTGGTACAGTAAATCCCGTACAAAGTACAGTAGATCCTGTCAAAAAAGTACAGTAAATCCTGTACTCTGAACTACAGTGACAGCTGTACTTATCACTACAGGATTTACTGTGATTTTTTCCAGAGTACTGTTTATCGAGCTAGGACGCTGAAATTTGGTCGGTGGGTGCCCCAACTGTTCTTCATGAGCCTTGCGAAGTATGCGGTCCGTGCGTCACTCCTTCCGCCCTGTGCAACCCCTTCCGTGGATCTGACTTCTCAATTTTGATGGCGAAATGGTTTCTTTGGGATGGTAGAAAACCGTTGAAACTTGGTTTTGATTGAGGGAGAATTTGAACATATTCGTGTGGTTGGGGGCAAAGCAGGGCGTGCTAACTTAACATTAATTGAGATTTTGAGTGCCTTTACCTCGTCAACGACAAAAGGTAAAAAAGTTATGCTCAGGGTAACTAAAATTTAAAATTTGGTTTTGAATTAAAGTTATTCTACGCATAAATTTTTTATTTCCAGCCGTTTACGAAATAAAATGTCAAAAATCGCAAATAAATGTTAAGTTAGCACGGCCTGGGGCAAAGTTACGTCTGAAGATCCAAAATAAAGGGTTTAGTCGATTTCGATGTGACTAAATAAGTTGTTGAGAGAAGTTGTCAACATGGTGGGTCCTTTGGGCCACAGTTTTCTTCGTTTTCGACGTATCGACTTACGGTTTGGTTCCTTTGACCGGGCTACATCTCCCGTGCTATCCCAAAAACTAACAGGTCATGGAGTTCAAGCATTTCCCTAACAAAGCAACATAAAACTGGACAAAACGTTACTTCCGCGCTGTCCATTGTCCAAAAAGTCAGTGTTCTAGAGTAAAAGTCTGCTGTGCTATTGGTCAGAGAGCAAATCCACGCACATACTTTTGTTCCATTGGCAATCTTTTATGATTTCTAGTGACTGACACCTCCTGCTGTATTGAATGAAAAGATGTCCACCGTGTTCTCGTTTTCAAACATCGTCTGTTTGAGTTTCGCGCCTCAGCGCCGAACCTGCAGCGGGAAAATGTCAGCTTAACATCCAGAACCAGCAGCGTGGTTTCTTCTTTTGGGGGATGTGGGCGGATTTTTGATGAAGGGCTCGATTCCGGCTGGCTGGACCATCAAAGGTGAAAATCTGGCATGTGGCAGGTTCATGTGTAACATTCCTTGTCACCAATAGCAAGCTTGCTACTCGGCCTATCGATTTCGGTACACCTGGCCATTTTGTGCTTTTTACGTCTTTAAAACACTAGGTGAGACTTACGTTCGATTTGGTAAACGGGTTGGTCGAATTACACGATTTTTGTGACGATGTAACTTCCGTGCCGTGTTTATTTTCGGTAACTTACCTACCATCTTCCTGTAAGAGTTATGGAAAAAAGTGAAAATAAATCCTTGACTCGTTCGGAAACGCATAAGAATAGAATACAAAATAAATACAGAATACAGAGGCCCCATTATACAAAATCCTAGAATACAGGAAAAATGGAAATTACAATTAGAACGACACATTTTTGTTCATTTTTTAGGAACCAAAAGAACCTACAATTTTGGCATCTTCCCTCATGCTTCCACTAAACTAATGACTCATTTTCACCATCTTAAGCGGGCACACCAGTGAAAATGCAGAGGTGTCGAAAAACGGTCGTTCTGAGAAAAGTAACCTTTGTATCCGATTGATATTTTATTCTTGGCTCAAAAATATATCAAAGAAAAGAAAAATCAGTATGGGCGGGCAGGGTGGTGATGGCAAGACGGAGCGCCAGTGCACTTCATTTTTCTGCGACCTTGCTTCACTCCTGCCATTCCGTCTCTCTGGATTGAGCCTCGAGCACGGGATTTGAAAATTTCTCAACAGGACACATGTGGCTATGGTCTGAACCACAGGCATGCTAAAAGAATGATTTTGAATTTTTTTTATTAACGCAAAAATAAAAACAAAGTTTTTAACCATTTTTTTTCGCGCTTTCATAGCTGCTGGCCACGTACTAAGTATTTATGGGACAGCCATTTGCGAGGTTCAGACCATAGACGCAAGTTTAACACATGTTTAGGCGCAAACCGCATAAGATTATCTCTTTCTTTGCGCCCGTGAGAGTGGCACATTAAGTAGAAACATAAATTTGACGTGTTTTTTTATTATCAATGCGCCTTCTGACGTATTTTAGTTCAGTTGGCGCCAAACTGTTCCTTTTTTTTCAACTGCGTTTGGGTGGTTCAAGGGTTTTGTAATTGAACTTAAAGTGAAAAACTAAACGTTGTCTTGAATATGAAAAAATAATTCTCTCTTGGCAACTTAAAAAATGTGCACGAGCCAAAGTAGTAAGAGATTTGGGGTGGGGTTTGCGGCGTTTTACTCGGGATAAATAGCAAAAAATAAGATAAATTAAAAAAGTTAAAACATTAATAAAAAATAAAATGTCTTTTTTAAATGACGATTTTTACTAGTAAAATACTCCGGGAACGTGACGTCAGGTCATAATGAACGTGAGAAAATGTCGGACAACAAGTAGCTCGCCTACATTCAAAAGAATGCCACACAATGCTCAAACGAACGTGACATTTTGTCCCGTTCGTTACAACGTGTTATCTTGTTCCGGGAATGAGAGTGATTATGCAGAAGAAGACCCTTCAGGTGCACACTCGACTTCTATCAGTGATCTACCGGACGTGTGATGCTCGGGAGATTCCGTGCGCATGGGCGAGTGGCAAAAATTTGACAAATGAAACTCTCATTTTGGGACTTATTTTTGTCTGACTAGCATCTGGAGATCTGCAAAAGGGCCCTTCAAGCTTAGGCGCGCGTCAAGTTCCATTTTCAATTATAACCCCATAGTAACAGATTTTACAGATGAGAATTGACAGAAATTTAATGTTTCGGTCCCTGTCTGCAAACTACCTATCCGGCTTTCCCCGTATTTCGGGCATCCTGCGTCTGAAGCCATATTCTGGTAAAATGATGTCTGGGTGACAAGGAACTAGTTCCAAAACCGTTTATAGCAAGCAGTGTATGATCCCAGTTTCTCTCAACGGTGTAGCAAAGTTGAACATTTACCCAGAAGGACAATGATGGATCTTACATTGTGCACTACTTCTGCACCTTTTCGGACGAATCCACGTCACAAATCGGGTCGTTTCAGGTAGAGCATCATCAATGTCAGTGCGTTTCTTCAATTTGCTGTGGAACTGTACCGTCAACGGGGGTAACTTGGGACACTTTTTCACGTTTTTTGAACGCCAGAGGCAAGATTCTCAACCCAGACCATTGGATCCTAACTATGTTAAAGTTTGGCCCTTTCCCCATGATTTCATGCTTGTCTGGTTCATTTGCCTCGATTACATCGTTTCCAAACGGTCTCGAAAGAGTGTCCCAAGTTACCCCATGACCGGGGGTAACTTGGGACAGTAGGTAATTAGCTACGTTCCCATGCATCTATTGATGATAATGGATGTAATAAATTTGGGTCACAACATGTAGACCAAGAATTCAGGCGTAGGAACTCTTGTAGGACCGATATTGGACTATATCTAGGGCTCTACGTGGAACTCTTTTTTCTACTGGTATTTTCCAGGCATTTTCTGACAATTTCAAAATATGGATAACCAGCAGACAAAATTGCAGAGCAAGGCATCTCTTTCCATCATCAGCGTAAAATCCGAAGTTTATGTTATGTTAGGGACCGGGTCAGTCAACTCCTTGGAGGCGAGGACTGCTGGAATCATGAGAAAAAGACTGTCCCAAGTTACCCCGTAAAATTTCGATTTTTGACAAAATGAAGTCTGGACCGAAGATGGAAGAACTATAATCAACGCCCTTTTGCGAACGTTATTGTCTGTGTATGATCTAACAGCCCAGAGAGACTAATCGGCCAAATCTGCATTTCACTCCTTGTACTGGGGTCAACTTGTCAATGTTTGACATATTTTGTCAAAAGCCCTATTATGTAGTTTTCCGTTTCTCAAATACAGATTGTGATGTAATGCGCCTTTTGTACCTTTCCGCGCGTGCCCTGAGGCCTCTGAAACAAAACCCTGCCGCGGGTTTGACGCTAGGAACCCTCGTCGCTGAATGGCAGCACCAACAAGCTGTACAGGGCGGACTGTCCCAAGTTACCCCCGGTGTCCCAAGTTACCCCCGTTGACGGTACCAATACTATGCACTCTTTCGAGCCAGAACGGCGAGGACACAAAATTCGCCCAAACGCACGGAACCACCTGCTGGAGAGAGCGTAACCGAACGGGCCGCGGCACTGGCCAGTGGAGGCGGTCAAAAGCTTCGAACACGCTAGGAAAACTTACACGGGAGAGCGAGCATGGGACAGCGTCGTGCTGCCCCAGCAAGAAAAAGAACCGTGGCCGTCTCAAACAGGTCGGTATTCCTTTGTTACCGCCTAGAACAGACCTTCGCCAAAGAACAGTAAAAGATAACGTGGATGACAACTACTGACAAGATAACATCTTTGCCGACGGTTAAAGTTATTTTTTTGTGAATTGTCAAGTGCGGATTCATCCACATATAACCCGCGCGGGGGAATCTGCAGTCTGAATTGTACCCAGGAACTGATGTCACCCTATACTTTTTGGCCCAATTGTTCTTAAAGTTTTTACAAGTATGCTATTATGTTAGAAGTATGAAGTATGCACTGGCCAGTCCACAGTAGGCTGAGAGTCGCAAAAGTAGCAATTCATCCCGTTTTTCAAAGTTGTATTTTTGTATCGGATTTGTGCGAGATGATGTTCGAAAAGGTCCAGCTAAAAGTACTAGCCGTATCACAGTGAGAATAGCACCTGAAAACTTGGTATTTTGAGGGTTTTGACGTTCCGCTTGTAGATCATAAAAATGACACATATGCCGAAACGATTTTCGACTAGCCACGTCGTATTTTTCGTCCCGGTTTCAATCGTGACCTCGTAGGTATCACACTCAACATGTAGACTCAAACTGGACTCAATTTCTCCTCGGTGGCATGTGTTCACACCTATTTTAGAAAATAGGTAAATCTGCGAATTTAAGGTTCTTTCTTCATATTGAAATTGAGTTTCAAAACGACTCCTACGAGTCCTGACGGAGATCTCTACGTCTAAATGTACATTGGACCCTCCTCTACTAGGGCCAACTTCAATCAAAGGCTCATCGAGGCTCCAACGCGAATGCGACGCGTCTAACGCCACCACTTTTTTCATAAATTCACAAATTCTGTCCTTATTTTTGTTCACTCGCGCTGCTCGCCGGGGGCTCCGCCCCCAGACCCCCGCATGTGTGGGGCGCGTGCCGAAGTATTTTCACTAAGTCCGTGGTGACCAAAGGCAAATTTTCCAAGGAAGTAAATGTACTGCTTCTTTGAAAGGTCTATTTAACAGCTTTTGACCATATAATTAAGCTTCTTTTACTGCCCAAATAGATAGCTTGTATTGCATTGGCTACTGTGGCAGTCAATGGGTGCATACAAGGTCCGGAAAATATTGAAGACTGCTTTGACAAGGATAGAGGTGAATGGAAAGAACCGCAAGTCTCCACGACCACTCCTTGACCCCTATAACATTTCTATGAGTAAGTGAGTGAGTGAGTGAGTCAGTCAGTCGGATTGGGGCTATATAGATTCTTGATGATGATGATTTTCCCAATTGCCGGTGGCGGGGACCCGACTGCGGCACAGTTTCGGAAATTCTCGACCAGCCCTACCGATGGGGCGAATAAAATTTTTTAGTCATTCGGTCCCCTTTTTAAATGATTAAGTAGGTTTGCTCCGAAACGGTGAGAAATTTTCAACTTTAGGGATTTTTTCCTATTTTCCCATGAAATTTGAAATCGAATGGAGAAAACCGCAAGTCTCTACGACTACTCCTTGACCCCAAACATTTCTATGGGTGAGTGAGTCAGTGGATGAGTCAGTCAGTCAGTCGGATTCGGGCTATATAGGTTGTTGATGAGTGAGGGTGTCAGTCAGTCGGATTTTGGGGCTTTATAGGGTCTTGATGACAATTGATGATTGATTTTGAGTATGTTGCCGGTGACGGGGACCCGATTGCGGCACAGTTTCGGAAATGTCTCGACCAGACCTACCGATGAGGCGAATAAAATTTTTTAGTCGGTCGGTCCCCTTTTTTGAAGATTGAGTGGATTTTGTTGAATTTAGGCCTATTTAATCGTTTTTCGAGGATGTTGCCAGTGACGGAGACCGGATTGCGGCACAGATTCGGAAATGTCTCGACCAGACCTACCGATGGGGTGAATAAAAATTTCTAGTCGGTCGGTCCCCTTTTTTGAAGATTGAGTAGGTTTGCTCGGAAACGGTGAGAAATTTGTTCCCCTTTCTTGTAGATAAAGTAGGTTTTCTCGGAAACGGTGAGGAATTTTCAACTTTTGGGATTTTTCCCAATTTTCACATAAAATTTGGAATCGAATGGAAAAAACCGCAAGTCTCTACGACCACTCCTTCACCCCGAACATTTCTATGAGTGAGTGAGTGAGTGAGTGAGTGAGTCAGTGAGTCAGTCGGATTGGGGCTTTATAGGTTCTTGATAATCGAATATTCTTGCTTATTTTATCGGTGTTCATGGCATTGGAAGCCTTTTGCCTTTCATCTTCATTTTTTTTCATGTAAAGTCTGACGGTTTCTAAGAATTTGTTTAAAAAAATAATTTTGAGTCAAAACTTTAATTTTTTACGCTTTTTGCTAATTTTGTTTTTTGGAAGTGCCCGGTTAGGTCTGCTTACTTATTTTTGACCTAGACTCTGTTTTCGAATGGGAACTGATGGCGTAAAAAAAGTTTATACGTCACTTAAATACGTTAGCAGATCGATAGAGCCTCACAAGACGAATCGATCGGTACCAATATGATAGCAAACGTGCAACCCAGTCGGTCACAATCGAATTAAATATCAGATTTGCTCCACAAGCCCACTGTGCGTCCGTTCGTCCGAGGGCTTCCCGTGGTCCGATCTTGACCAAATTTGGTATGCAGCCTTCTTGGGTGACCCTAAGAACCACCAGGTGGCAGCGAATCCGATGCGAGCCCCGGGGGCGCTGCTGCAGTTGCATCATGGTCTACATAGGGTCGAGGAGGATTTCGGCAACGGATACAGCTAGAAAGGCGTGTAGGGGTCTTTTTGGAATCAGGGCGAGAAGACAAAACCAACAGTGCCAGTTTTAAACGATTTAGAGAAGTTCGGACCCGGATTCAAATCCCAGTAGGGTATATTTTGAACATACTTTTTATTCTTGTTAAAGCATTTTATCTGATGTTTTTGAGTGCGCTGATCACGAAAAAAACATCTATACTGACCCCAGACTCAGGTTAAAATCACATCACGGTTAAGCATAGGCGAAATTCGCACATTTCTTAATGTACGGGACGGGCCAAAGTTGCCGATGTATATCGCTTCTTTTCCTGTTGTTAACTGGATTGCTAGCGCGCAGACAAGCACGTGGAGGATCTGCGCACATCGCGCGTCGGCGTACAGTAAAGAGCGATGTTTAAGTGTTTCCGTGCATGTACAGGCTTAAAAACATGCGATGTCACCGAATAGGTTGATAACGTAACGAAGACGGTTACCCCTGTCTCCCATCGTAATCAAGTGGCGCATCAGCGATTACGTGACGACCCCTTTCCACGAAGCAGGAATCGAGTTCGCTGCACTTCAACTCTGAAGTGCTCACTCTCGAGTGCTTCCGTTCGGGTCGAGAAAATTTTGGAAATCTGGTGAAAAGAGGGTGAAGTACACAACATTCGCAAAGCAGGCATCTGACATTAAATTGCAGAAAATTGTCTTTTTGGCCCGCCCTTCTATTCAAAAAATAGGGGGAGGGCCTATGCATTTGCCTTTGTGTCTGTGTGTTGTTGTTGTTGTTGTTGTTGTTGTTGGCGTCTGTGGACAAGGAAGGAGTTGAGCTAGAGTAACCAGATTTGGAGGGTACTTCAGGAGTACCGTCCAAACAAATACAGTCTTCATCGGCAAAGAGTCGACCGGCAAAGAGTCGACTTCATGTGACGGTCCCCGCTTACGCGGCGGGGGCGAGCTCGAGCCACAATGGTTTTATGGCCCTCCCGAGCTCGGAGCACTACCGGAGCTTTTGTCTACCACCATGTGCTGTTTGGTTTTCGTGTCGGCAAAGAGTCGAAATCCGGTCCCGACCCGTCGACTCTTTGCCGATGAAGACTGTAATCCGGTGGTGCAAATCCCGTCCGGGTCGCACAAGGGCTGCTGCAGGTGCATCATGGTTTACATGAGCGGGAGGGGGATTTCCGCCATTATTGGTGCTAGCAGGGCACATAGGGGTATTTTTGGAAGCGGGGCGACGAGACACGATGAATAGACCTGGTCCTGACCCCATCGGCCGCTTTTACAGGTTGGCCAGATCAGGATCTTCAAAAAAGGGAGTCGACCGACTAAAAAAAATTATTGCAGATTTCGATTGGTCTCAGCAAGACCTTTTCGACGAGGGGTCGGAAAGGGGGTCCAGGAGCCCGACTTCGTCTATTAGTCACATCAGGATCTTCAAAAAAGGGGGTCGACCGACTAAAAAAATTTATTGCAGATTTCGATTGGTCTCAGCAAGACCTTTTCAACGAGGGGTCGGACAGGGGGTCCAGGAGCCCGACTTCGTCTATTTGTCACATCAGGATCTTCAAAAAAGGGGGTCGACCGACTGAAAATTTTTACTGAAGTTTTCGATAGGTCTTGGCAAGACCTCTTAAACGAGGGGTCGGAAGGGGGTCCAGGAGCCCGCCTTCATGAGTTACAGTACCAACTCGATCGCTGTCGCGCGACAGCGATAGTGAGAGCAGTTCGTTCGCTGCTACTAGCCCCGGCCGCGCTGGCGAGCGCCACAGCGCTCCGGCCGGCTGGGGCAGCCTAGCGGCAGACGGACGCCGAGCAGACGAGCTGTCACCTACCGGCCGGTGAACGCCGGGGCAAGGGGGGCGGGGAGGGTGTATGGCTAGGCTCGTCCCGGCCGCTGGCTGGCCCGAGCAAGCGTGCGTCGGCGCTGCCGGTGGCTCGGGCCGGCAAGCGAAGCGGGCTAGCGCCGAATCCTATGTCTGTCTCTCTCGCACACGACAGCGATCGAGGCGACAGCGATCGAGTTGGTACTGTATGGGAAAAAGTGCGACGGACTCGTTTTGCGCTCCTGCTGTGCCTCTATTGCAAGGAGTTGCAGTAGCATGGCAAATATGGGTATTTTCGGAATGAGGGCGAAGAGACAAATGAAATGGGCATATTCTAAGGACAGTTGGAGTAAAAAGTGTAAGGACTATTGCATATTGTGAATAGAAGGGCGGGCCTAAGTCACGATGGTACATCGATAACTTTGCTTTACCCGCTCACGGGGTGTGTGATGCGAG